CCCCCCCCCCCCGTCTTTTCAAATAATGCCTCTTTTTACTTTTTAAATTTCCTTTGTGGGATTCCAATTATACATACATTAAACTTTCTTATTCTGTCCTTCAAATATCTTGTTTTAGAATTCTACCTAGCTTTTTGTATTGTTTTTATTTATTTATTTTTAATTTTTATTTATTTATTTGTGTGTGTGTGGCCGGCTCAGCCCACCAGGGGGCGGGGCTGGCTGGCATGTGGTGCTGGGGGATTGAACCGCCGTCCCTGTGCTTTGCTAAGCTTGTTCTAAATAGATACTTTAGACCACTGAGCCATCTCACCAGCCCCATGTATTGTTTTTATTTTTTTTAATGTCTATAGTTATTTTGATTAGTCTCTTGTTATGTTCCCATTTCTGTAATTTCTTCTTTTCTTTCTAGGGATATTTTATATTCTGAGAAATACATAATTCCATTTCCTCAAACTTTGAGGCATTAGTCTATCATTTATGAATTTCATTCATAGTTACTTTTTTCATTAAATGTTGAATGAACTCCATAAGTGTTAATGCATATACTTATATAATATAATATGCATGCATTAAAAAAGAAATGTCTATGTTTGACATCTAAGTTAAGGATATTTTTTCTAAAGAGCACTTTGGCTTGTTTTTCTGTAAGCCAGGGTAACACTGAACTGGAACCAACTAAACGTCCTCCATGATCTCTGGCAACACTTACAATGGCATTTGTCCATGGGCCAACATGTTCTTCAGGCCACGTGCGTCTCATAAATGCTTATTATTCGCAGCTTAGGTTTTATCTCTGGCTTATTCTTTTCTCCCTCATTCTTTGTGTTTCTTACAAGAAAACCTGTTCACTTTCAGTGTGCTCAACAATGCAGCAGAAACTATGTTTTAGGCAGAAGCTTGTTCTGGGTGGAGTACTCCTAAGTGTATCACACAGCACTGCCTGCGCCTTCCCCAGAGCTGGGAGTGTAAGGGTACTACGATGAGCTCGACTCCATATACTTAAGTTGGGGCTTGTGGTACATGCTTAAAATCTCAGCACACAGGATGAAGAGGAGTACCTCAAGTTTAAAATCAGCCTGAGCTACATAGTGAAACCACTTCTCAAAACAAAAACACACACCCCACAAAAATAAACCACCACCATCACCAAAAAATCCAGACTTATAGCCAATTTTAGATATCCCTTTTATTCTATTTTACTAACGTGATTCTTTTCCCCTCTTTATTGCTGATTTTAATGCCTGTCTTAGCATTAGTTTTCCATGTTTTAGGCTTTTTGTTTGCAGGCTTATTGTGAGTTTTTTCTTTCTCTATAAATAACTTCAGTCTAATATGAGTTTGGAATTACATCTATGTGATGCCCTATAATTTATTTAGAACCAGAATGCATCATGCTCAACTCTGGGGTCTTCTACTTTGTGGATTTCTGGATCCAGTTAACCAATTCAGACGGTAGGTTAGCTAAGGTCCTGGACGTGTGACTGTCAACTCACTTGCAATTATTTATCTGAGGAGTTTGAAGCAGTAGACTTGCTTAAAGCTCCACAGATAATGTGGAAGGACCATTTTAGTCATCATCAGCCCATGGAGTAACTTCTAGACACTTATGTTTGCTTTCAAACTCACAGCTGAAAACACTTCTTACCAATTCTACTTGTGCTTCATGGAAACATGTAAGTTTTTTTTTTTTTTTTTTTTTTTTTTAAATTTGGCTAAATCTTTTAATCTATCCTTTTTTCTTTTTCTTTTTTTTTTTTTTTTAATCTTGCATGTATTTGGTACGAGGTCTCACTACACAGCTTTGACTTGTAGTGATCCTCCTGTTTCAGCCTTCCCACCACAGGGGTTACAGGTGCATGCCACCATGCCTGGTCTTGGTGGCTGGCACCTTGTGCCTGGGGCAGGGATACCAGGGATCGAACCTGGGTCCTTGTGCTTGCCAGGCAGGCACCTGGACTGCTGAGCTATCTCTGCAGCCCCCTTTTAAATCTGTCCTTAATGCCAATATAGTTAGACTGGCATTAAAAATGGACCTAAAGTGGTATCTTAACTAAGATTCCCATTTTGATTTAATTTTAACAACTGGAATACTAAACAAATTATCTTCATTTCTTCTACATTACAGAGCACCTACTACCAAACAAGAAGACATAGCTTTGTCTTACCTGCTCCAAGAGAAAATTATGTACATCTTCCCCTTCTGGTAAAAAGTCCTTCCAGCTGAGGTCAGCCTCCCTCCATAAGGCTCCAACTTTCTTATGGCTCTAGAACAAAGGTAAGACCAGTTCATTAACCTTTACATTGGAAGGAAAGAGAGAAAACAAAACAAAAACAAACAAACAAACTTGCTTGAGATTAAGGAGCCTAGATTGAAACATCAAAACCTTTCTTGTTAAAAAACAAAAACAAAAAACAAAACAAAAAAAAACCCATAAAACCTTTCTTGTTGATATGTCAGTCTCTTAGGACTCTTGTCCTTCAAACTGAGATGTCTGAGTAACAGTAAATAACCAAATTAATCTGGGAATCTGCAAGCTAGCATTTAGGTCTTACTGATATAATCACAGGAAGGGGAGGGGTCCAGTGCACAGGGTATATACATTCAACACGGACTCCTTTCCTATGTTTCTTTGTAGATATAGCTGGTACTAAAGTCATCCACAAGGGATCCCTCTGCATGGCGGGTCACATTTATACCTCCTCCTGCAACAAGAATGTTGAAGGCAGCTGCTGTTCCTGAATTAGGAGAAATGTGTCTAAGCCAAGAAGCACAGGCTGAGCCCAAGAAACAAGAAAGGAGAGCTGTTGTCATCTGGAAAAATAAGAGGAGATACCAATGCATGGCATGAACAAAGTCACACTGACAATGGAAAGTGCCAGGCTCTGAGGCTGCAGCTGGCTTTGTGGCACAGTGATGGTGAACCTTTTAGTGTGCGGTGATAACAAACAGCCCTCTGTGACACAAGTGCCATAAGCTTACCACCACTATCTCAGAGGATGAATTATTTTCTTATGAAAAAACCTAACCAAGTCAAGCTGGTAACTTGGTTGAACCAGGGCTTGAAATCAAGCTGTCTGGGTAAGAGCTTGTGCTCTAGGAAAATTTGGTTTTTATTTAGAAGTGTGAATTTTATGTTTGTTAAAATAAAGTTATTATTTTATGTATTCATTTTATGCATTATTTTATGTATGTATTATTTATGTATTTTATGGTATCTCCTCTTATTTTTCCAAATGACAACAGCTCTCCTTTCTTATATCTTGGCCTCATCCTGTGCTTCTTGGCTTAGAAACATTTAGTACAAGGTCCACAGGGTCTCACTACATAGATCAGACTAGTAGTGATCCTCCTGTTTTCAGCCTCCCAAGCGCTGGAATTATAGGTGCACGCCACACAAGGACTAAAATCAAGTAGTAGGACAGAAAGGATTTTAGACATGAAAACTAGATAGTTCAGTAAAAATTTTAGTGCCAGTAAGAATATTAACAGGTAATCAACAGAATCAGGGTACTCAATGAATCAATTCATAAATACTATATAAAGGGGATACAGAAGGACTTTTGTAGGTTCAGAGTGAAAAATGAAACACTTCTTTAAAAAGAAATGCTTGGAAAACTATCATTTTAATATCTTAGGCTCAGGTTTGGATATGTCAAAAGTCACCGCAGAATTTTTGTGAATTTGTTTGGATGCCTCTCCCAGCCTAGATTTCCCCTAAGTGATGCCACAACACTTCCCCAGCTTCTTAGAGCTCTTAATGAAGCAGTTCTACGTGCTTTTGCAATGACTGGGTTAGATTTGTCTTTTCCCCTCTCTACTCTTATAAATTCTTTTTTTTTTTTTTTTTTGGTGGAACCAGAGATTGAACTCAGGCTTCTACCGAGCCATCTCCCCAGCCCCCTTATAAGTTTTTTGAAGGCTTATCTTTTAGACTGAGAACCTAGTGGAGAGCTTTGTAAAGAATAATTATGCAGTAAATATTTAGTTAACTAAGGTGAATTTAACTTAAGAAATTCACTATCTGGTACAGTCATTTTTTACCATCTACTTCTAATCAGACTAGTATCCTACCAGTGAAAAGAAACGAAGTCATTTTATGAATCCTAACTTAGACTGAAAGTACTTTTCACTAAATCTATTTAAAAGTATTCATAATATAGCCATTTTCTTTCAAGAAAAGATAAAAGCAAAACACATTGAGTCTTTAGACATATATCTAATGTAGTGAGATCAGACAAATCTTTCCCAAGAGCTTAGTACACTGTTAATAAAATATACCTTGGGCCAGCGAGATAGCTCAGTAGACTAAATACCTGCTTAGGAAAGCACAGGGATTAGACCTTTGTTACCATGTGCTGCTCTGGCCCGCCCTTCGGTGGCCACTGAGCCGGCCACCGAGACCAGGCATGGTGTGAGGCTAAAAACAGGAGGATCACTAGGAGTCCTGCCTATAATCTCAGCACTGGGGAGGCTAAAAACAGGAGGATCACTATGAGTCCGAGCTGCATAGTGGGACCCTGTACTAAATACATTGAAAAGGAAAAAAAAAAAAAAAAACAACATTGTAAGTGTCTCCCTAAATTTTATGCCTGAGTTCAATTCACACATAAAAAAAAAAAAAAAAAAAAAAAAAAAAGGAAGAAAAAATATATATCTTAGGAAGAGGCAAGGTGGAAGCAGCAACCTCATTCTTTTTCAAAAGGTAAGAGTAAAAAAAAAAGGGTAAGAGTAAACAGAATTACTTGCACATTGAGGCCAAAGTTATTCAGGGAATAATATCCAAGGTCAAGATCACTGCCTCTCCTAATGTGTTATTAAGAATGACACTCAGGTAGACACTCACCATTTGTTTGCATAGAAGGTGCAGTATTTCGGACAGCAAGACCCCAGCTCTTCCAACAGGAAGTAAAGGTTTACTAAATTCTCTGTAAAAGACAGGAACATTAGTAAGTACCTCGGAACAAATTCCCTGTCCTACAGTAGTAGGCAAAGAACATGTGCCAAACACAATAGTGTATAACAGAAATAATACTGGGCAAGCCAAAGCCCCAGGCATGCCTAAATCCTTTAAGCAGAAGTAGTTCCAAGATTTTAGGTTCACTGAGAAACAGAAAAGGGATTTTATAGTTCCTAGGTTTTGTTTTTTTTCTTTAAACACTTCAGACAGAAACATTACAAAGATCAGTCTCAATTAGTGAAAAAAGAAATTTTTAATGTTAAGCTCTGCTTCAAGCTCAAAAGACAGAAGCACCTTAGGTAAGAGGAAGTTATGACACTTGGCTCTCAGGTAGGAAGTGCTTTTAAGAAAGCAAGTTCTGACTGAGGGCGTAGCGATGCGTGCCTGCCATCCCAGCACTGGGGGAGCAAAGGCAAGAGGATCACAACGAGCTTCAGGCCAGCCCCAGTGAGAATCTGTCTTAAAAAAAAAAAAAAAAAGTAAGCTCTGCTTGAAAATGCAGATGAAACAGAGATCATTTTTTTCCATCATCTTCAGGATTTCTCAAGCTGTATTTCACAGTTTATCAATTAAGAGAAGCAAAGCTGAATTAAACAATCTAAACTGTTCTGTTTTACTATAAAAAAAACCCTCACAATCTTCAATAGGCTGTATGCTTGTGAATCTCAGAGAGGAGCACAGTGGTAGGCAGAGTTCTGACTGTAAGCACCAGTGTTTTACAGAACAGAAGTACCAGCCTGACAATGTAGTATCAATCCCTGACTCAGCCAAATCTATGAATACTTTTATTGGAACTGTGAGCATGTACTATGCAGGTATCATTGTCTGACAAGCTACAATGTGAAAATGTAACTTCTTATAATACTCCAGTACTAGCAGACCAAAAATCCAGATTAAGATTCTAGACACAATCGTCTTCCAGGTCCATCAGCCATATTTGTAATTACTGCTACCTTAATGGACTATGGGGCTATGATGTAGGTATCAGATTGCCACACATTTGTAGTATGGATCTAAATCACATTTTAACAATGAAATTAGAAGTGTAAAATCACAGGCTGCATCAAGGAGTCTCGAGAGGCACTAATAGCACAGTACTACGCTAGAGAGCCAGCTGGTGGTTGCGTGTCAGTTAAATTTGACATATACATCAAAGAAACAACTGTAACTTACATAATAAGTTCTCTCATGGTGATTCCACCTTCTTTTAGCATAGGGGTCACAAGTTCAGCAAGGTACAACCAAATGTGGGGAATATCAATGGCCATATCATCTGCCAACTCTAAGGTTTCTGAAAAACTGGAAAAGAACAGAAAAAAAAAATTTTTTTTAATCTAAATATAATCCCAGGACTCTGGGAACACAAGGCAGGAGAACTGTGAGTTTGAGCCCAGCCTAGGCAATTTAGCAAGATCCTATCTCAAAACAGAAAATAAAAAAGGATGTAGTTTAGTGTGAATACACTGGGCTCAATCCCCAAGGTGGGGTAGGTAGAATAGTGCAGATTAAAGAGACCAAAACCCAGAAACTCAACAAATTGAGCACCTACTTCATTAGGCACTCGTCCGTCTGTACAGTGACTGGTAAATAAATCACCATGCTCAAAAACCTTATGCAAGCATCGGGAGAAAAAGAGAATCAAATAGAAAATGTATACATGCGGACCAGGCTAATGCTATACTCTGAAAAGCATGAGCTACATATGGAACCTGACAGTGCCTAGAAAACCACTGTGCTGAGGTGACATCGGAAAGACTTCCGTGATGAAACAAAGACAGTTATGTAAAGTTCTGGGAATAACTCTCCAATCACATTCTACACTACAGTCAGTCAGAAGTGCAGGCCAGAGAGACACAAAAAACATTTGTCCTAGGGATTGGGGAGATGGCTCAGTGGAATAAGC